CACACCGGATTCATTTCAAAAGCTTTAAGACACATGCATGCCTGAGCCCACCCCAGAGATGGGCTGGGCTGGCCTCCACCAGCTCTCAGGTGATCCTAATACGCAGAACTGAGAAGCAGAGCAGCAGCGGGCAGGCCTCAGCCAGGTAACACAGGTAACAGCACACACTTAATGGCTCAATGTGTAGCCTGTGCTCATCGCCGAGAAAAGTTCCACAGGGGCAGGCCACTGAGGCCCTGGCCGACCCTCCAGCCATCAACCCTACTCTCCCTCCCAATTCATTTTGTGTGAACAAAAATTCACCAAGAGCTTATTATCTTGCAAAGCAGCACAGGTGAGGGAACTGCAGAAGCGATGGGGCAGTCCCCTTCTTTAAAAAGCGTGCAACCAGGCAGATGAAGCCAAGGCGCTCAGGCCCCAGAGCAGTGAGGGGAGCGGCACCTCCACCCATGTGTGTGGGGGGATGGTGGTGCTGTTCTCGAGGCAGAGTGGCCCCACGGTCACCTGAGAGAACCCACCCTTCCAGAGGTGCTGCTGGGAAAGCAGCCTGAGGCCTTGGGAGCAGCCTGGGAGGCACCAGAGGAGTCTGCACAGGAGGTCACACCCACGTCAGAGCCAGCAGTCCTTCCATTGCTGCAACAAGCTAACTCCCTGCGACAGAGGCACCCACTAAGCAAAGTGCAAGCTCTGCCTTTCCTTCGTTGCCCTTGGAATTGCCATGGGACAAATGAAAAGACTGGGCCACTTGCCTTTCCAAAACCTACTCTCCCTTCTCACCACCCACCCCACCCCCACCCCACAGGAATGTGCTACAAAGCTCACAAGCAGCAGCAAGGCCCTTCTGTAAGAGGCAGCTGACTGTCCCTTCTAGTAGAAGGACCTGCTCTAACCCCAAAGCAACACTCTCCCCTCCCCTCACCGACACAGGACAGTACCATGAAAAACACAGAAACTGAACAGTCAGAAGGAGGGGCTCTGAACTCCTTCCCCACTGTCCCAGGCAATTTCTTTTTCCTTTTTTTTTTTTTTTTGCTTTTTTAAAATTTAATTTATTTTAATTGTTGTTCAAGTACAACCAGGCAATTTCTTAGGGTCCCCTTCTCCAGTCAGTCAAGGTGCCCAAGCTCTGACCCCTTCCTCCTGGACTGTGGCGAAGCCTGATGTGGGCTCCTGGCTTTCTCTCCCTTATCAAACTCAGTGGGGGCCCACACACAACCCCCACCCCCACCTGCTTTTCTTGCTTTGCCACTCCCCGTTCAAACTAGGTTCCAGGTTGAGCCTGCAGTCCCTCTCTGAGCCCTCCCCCAGCTGAGGTCCCTAACCCTTAGGGCAAGGCCCCTCCCAGAAGGAAGCGCAGCCTGGTGGTGCCAGGCAGAGTCAAACTGGCCCGGCTTGTTTACCAGTCCCTAACTGAGCCCCTAACCAGGAGACAGAATCACTGTCTTGGGAGGGGGCTCTCCATGCTGCCCCCCACCCCCAGATCTCAGACCTCTCCAGATTCCGCAGCACAGGGGACCTCACAGGCCCTGGAGTCAAAGGCATTTACCCTCCAGCCCCAACCGGACCAGCTGCTTACTTGCAGCTTCAGCAAGTTATTTAACCTCCAAGTCCCAGTTACCTGTATGTGAGAGGGCGCTCTTGGGTGATCGCGTGGGAGCCGACCACTTTTCAGCAGGTCTGTGAGCACCAGAAGACAGAGACCAACGTGATTACTCTAGCCACAGAGGCTGGGCACTGCACTTGTTCTCAGAAAAGTGTTGAATGAATAAAATGCTTATGAAAGAGTCTCACAGGTACCTGGCACACAGTGAGTGTTCCTGTGCTAGCTTATGACAGCATATGCACGGTCACGCTGTCACTGTTTCGTCTCCTCACCCACACTCCACGCTGCCACTGCTTCACTGTGACTGAATGCACTCCCCATCAAAACCCGCTCCAACAGCCAACCTCAATGAAGCGTGCCACCCATGGCACTCCTCCAGGCCGCAGCCGGCCCCGCCCTCCATGCCTCACGGCCACTATCCCTGTGGTGCCCTCTGAGCTCCGTCTGTCACTGTGCCAGTCCTTATCACCCCATCTTACAAATCATTTGTTTGCTTGTCTGTCTTCCTCAGACTGAGCTCTGGAGGGCAGCGATACGTGAATGTAAACTCAAGTTCTGCTTTCATTTTACAAACAGGACACTAAGACTCGAAGAGTTTATCACTGTCCAAAGTCAGGGACAATAAATGGCAAAACCAGTATGGCCCTCCCAACTTTCTGACTAAGCCCACTTCCCCTCTCACTGCCCTGAGAGTCTCTCCTCAGTTGGACTCCAAGAGCCCAGATGGCAGGAACCTGATTTGTTGTCAGGCGAAAGCTGCCTCCCAGGGAGCAGGAACAGCCACGAAGAAGGGCTCCCACTCTTCAGGTGATCACTTCCAGGGGGCAGTGGCCCTCAGACCCAGCGGGCAAGGCAAGGCAAGCCAGCGATGGGGTGGGGCTGACTGGGAGAGGCCAACAGGCCAAGCAAAAGGGCAGAGCCACAGGTCCCCTGGGTAAACTGAACTTTATTCCTTCCTCACTCCTCTGACTCTCCAGAACTGTCCAGCCAGCCCTCCTCCAAGGGCTAGCTGCTGATTAAAAGGCTCTACACCCACCCCCAGCTCTAACCCTGGCAGACAATAAGGACTCTGGGAAGGCAGCAGGCCTGTCAGCTCAATAATGCAAAACCCTGTTGCTCCGGAGTCCACGACAGCTGACTTCAAGTGGATTCGAGGCTGTGCTTATTAACAAAATGAGAAATCCGATCTATGGAAAGAAAACACTATGTGAGGATTAATCCAGGACTGAAGCTTGTGGAGAAGGCTGGGCTGCTTGCCAAGACCAGGGACCAAAGACAGGATCATGCCTACCTGTCCTCAAAGCAGGTACCAAGCAGCGGTAGAGAACGCATCACCTCTGCCTTTCTATTGCCAGCAATTGCAGCAATCATTTCAGTTTTGCTTTAATTAAAGACCTGGTCCCCTCAGGCTGTTTCTTCCTCTACACAGAGCCAGTAACCAGAGGGAGATTTTTCTTTTCAGGAATCGCTTATAAAAGTCGAGTGACTAATCTACAAGTCCCAACAACTGGCAGGAAAACACTGCAGGGATAAATTCTGGGCACACACCAGCACTCTAGTCCAAGCGAGAGAGGCTGGGCAACAGGCACTCAGCAACACCCCAAAACAGGCTTGCAGGAAGCCAGGAGCCAAAGAAGAGCAGACCAACCTAGGAGCGCTGACTCCAAAGATAGGCAGGCAGGTGGGGAGCCTCCTCCCAGCCTTCCAAGTCTATGACCTGCCTGTGGTACATAGACATTTTCATAATAAGCCCAACTGCACAGGACTAAAGGTTCATTCGAAGGCACAGTGACCTGCCAAAGGACTCACTGCAGCCCTTAAGTATCATCCTCCCATCCACCCCCCACCCTCACCCCCACCCCCAAGCTAAGAGCCAGCTCTACCAGCAATCTCACCACACAGCTTTGTCTCTAGAGGCTGGCCTGAGGCCGCCCATCTGCTTTTTTTCAGACCACTCCAACAACCCTGCTCCGCTGAGAGTACACTCTTTCCTTGAGCCAGGGCTACACACTGGCCACATGGCCTGTGCTCCTGAAAATGTCTGCTGAAAGGCCCACGGAGTCCAGACACCGGCAGATGGGAATGGAGAGGAAGAAGTAAAGCCAGAAGCCAGGAAGCAAAAAATGCTAGCTCCAGAAAGGTGCTCGATTTCGGTGCCCCAACTCCATCCCTCCAACCAGAGGGGCCCCTGGAGAACAGCCCCCAAGATCAGCCCAGAGGCTCTGAAGGCCCCTCCACTACCTGGCAGCTCTTCTCTCCCCTCAGTACAAGAGGCACAGCAATCTCCACATCAGTCAACAACCCCCTGCCACAGGATTCCTATGGGTAAGACGCTACCCCTCCCCCCACCACATATGTCAGAAGGGTGGCCTCCCTGGGTTACACCCCTCCTGCTGTGGGGGGTGGGGTGGGGTCGGGAACCCAGCTTTCCAGATGTGCTTGGAACTCCTACTAGAAAAGACACTGGAGGTGGAGGGGATAGGAGAAGGCATGGATAAATAACTTCAAAACTGCTCCAGACTATTCGGATCAGCACCGGGCCCCCTTCTCCAGGCAGTCCCACTCTGTTCTGGGTGGGGCCGCTGGGAGCATTATCAGGCCTGGTTCCCTCCCCTCCATAAGTCACTGCCCCCTCCCACCCGGGAGAGGCACCCCCCGCCTCCACCACCCCCACCAGCTAGGCCTGTGTGAATATGAACAATCTTGGTAGATAAACAAGAGTGACAAGCTGGGGCCCTTTAGCCCCCTCCCTCTGCCAGCCGACCCCCTCCCCCAAACCCATCTCTCTTCCTGCCAAGCGGCTGCCTACAGGAGCGATCTGGGGGCAGGGCAGCCAGCCTACCAGCCGCAAGACCTGGCGTTCTGGGAGCCGCCCCTCTAGGCCTGCCCGTCTTGCCAGTCTTTCTATGGGAGGGGGCAAAGGAAGGGGACCGCAGACCACGCAGGGCCGCAGTTCTGGAAATAGCAAAATCCCTCAGTGAGGGGCGGCCGCGAGCGCAGGGTCCTTTGCATAATGGGAGCCCGCCCGCCTGTCAGGCAGCACAGCTCGCCCAACGCTATTCGGATTAGATTGCTAATGAAAAGGCACAAAGAGCCGGCGCCCTGCGCCCGCCGACCCGCGCTCCGCAGACTCGCGTACGGGCTTGGCGCGGCCCCGGGGGCTTTGTGCTTGGGGTCCCCCGCCGCCTGTGCCCGGGTGGGCACCGGGGCCACAAAGCCCCAGCGGGCTCTGCAGACTCCCGCGTGCGTCCCGCCCAGGCCAGGCGGACACTCGCGCCCCTCCCACGCGCGCAGCCCCACGTCGGCCTGGCGCGCGCCCGCCCACGCCCCTGCCCCCGGGGGCGCGCCCGCCCGCGGCCCCCGCCCGCGCCCCTAGCTATCCCTGACTGCCCCTCACCTCATGTGCGTCGGCGGCGGCGTTCAGCCAGCCGGCCGGCCGGTCCTGCCTGCGGCTCCTCGTCCTCGGCGCCCGGCCCGCGCCGCCCGGTCCTCCTGCCGCCGGCCCGGCTCGGCTCCCCGCCCAGCGCGCCCGGAGCGCCGCTCACAGCCGCCTGCCCGGCGCCATCTTGGAAGCTTGTGACGTCGATGCTGCTTGCTCACCCCTGACCCACAACTGAATGGGCTAGCAGCCGGGCTGGGCCGGGGCGGGGCCTACTCCGGGGGCGGGGCCTGAGGGGGCGGGGCCGGCGGGCCAGCGGTCCGAGCACTGGGCGGGACGGACGGTCGCCGGACCTCGCCGTGGGGGAAGGGCTCCTGAGGGGAGCTCGGGACCCAGACCTTGGTCGCCCCTCTGGATCCGTACCCCAGGTGAGGGAGCTGAGCTGCTAACTCGCCCCGGAAACTCCCGGACCGCACACCCCAGAGAAGAGGACTCCGGCCCCCCACAGGCCAGGCCCAGCCCCCAAACTGAACTGACCCCCTTTGAGCCTGACCCTGACCTCTCGGAGCCCCCCACGAAGAACCCCTAACGCCCTGCGTCCACTTTCAGGACACCCTCTCACCCTTAATGCGTGCCTCCCTCAGGAATCCCACCTTCAAAGACGCAGCCCCCGGAGAATGTAGGCTGCGTGGTCTGGGCTCCTGGGGAGACTCCAGCTGTCTGGGTCTCAGGGATAGGATAGCCTCCTACCCCTGACCCCAGCGCTCCCTCGGGACCTGGCGCCTGCAGCCCCGCAAGCTGGTCCTACCTGCTCAGAGGGCGCTGAGGTCGCGATCACGCCGTGCTCAGCCAGCCCCTTCCGGTGACCGCAGCCCCTCGAAAGCCCTTGGGGTCAAGAAACGCGCCTAAGCTGGCCCGCCCGGATTCAGGCTGGAGGCGGTCATTCAGATGGCCTGCCAAGGAACCGGAGCTGGCCAGGGGCCGCGGCCACTTCTCTAATGAACCTCTGACTAGTTCGAACACCAAACAAAGGAACATACACACCACTGTCAAAGTCTGAAAGGAACTCAGATTTGCCATGTAGAGAAATGATGCCCTAGCACTACTCAAGATTGATAACCCCCTCAGACGGCTGATTATGTGTCTTTTCTTCTAAATTAATATATGTTTAATATAATTCTAACAAAAATATAAATTCATCTGGAAGAATAAACAGCCAAAAACAGCTATGGTCTTCCGCTTTGGGAACAAAAAAGGAATGAGGCTGGACTTGCCACAATGGATATTAATACAAATTATAAAACTACTGTAGTCAATTCAATACTGTCCAGACCACAAAGCAGAATAGAAAAGCCTAGGAACAGATTCCAGACATAATAAATGAAAAAGGAAATATCCAGCATCCATGAAAAAGGAGATATCAAATATCTGGGAAGAAAAAAGAAGGAATATTCCACAAGTAGAGCCTGGTAGAGGACTCATTATTTGAAGAAACCACTGAAAAAAAAAGTCAATGTTGTACTAACGAAAGACATGCAAATTAAAGCTACAGGATGCCGATGCAAATTTTTTGGTTTTTACCAAATTAAAAATTAGTCTCGGATGAACCTTTAAACTTAGGCAAAGGTCTGATGGGTGAATCACTGACATACTGTTGGAAGCATATAAATTGCTTCAAAATTCCTGAACATCAATTTAGCAGTATGAGCGAAAAATAAAATCTTTAAAAATGCCCATGCTCCCTTAGACCAGCAGTAATTCATCTTTCAGGATTCTGTCCTAAAGAAATTAGCCACATTTGCAGACCACGTGCTAGATTATCTGTCTAACCAGACCACAAACTTGGAACTCGAGGGCCCAGAGCACCCCCAAGACTTAATAGACATTCAGTAGTCACCTGTTTCATTTACATTTGAAAATCAATGTATAATCATTTTTTTCCAAGTATAGTTTATAATAATGAAAAAAATCAGGCTCTGGCCAGTTAGCTCAGTGTATTAGACCCAAGGTTATGGGTTCAATCCCCAGTCAGGGCACATATAAAAATCAACCAAAGAAATGCATAAATAAGTGGAACAACAAAAATCAATGTTTCTCTCTCCCTCTCTAAAAAAAAATCAACATAATAATGAAAAAATCATACGCAAAGTAAAAGTCAGAACAGGGAGGGGGTTGGCTAAATAGTCCACATTATGTGCTCTTAAGCAGCCACTACAAATGTTGTTTATAAGGATGTTTTCTGACCTAGAGATGTGAAAAAGAAAACTACAAAACTGTATGTAATGAATATATGCAAAATATTGATCTATGGGGAAGCAAATGAAATCACATCAAAACACAGAAGTTCTCTCTAGGGGCAGGGATAATTTTTACACATGTATATTTTAGTGTGTTTTACTGTAAAAGTAAAATTTCTCATTTTAAATTAAATGTATTGGGGTAATATTGGTAATAACTATATAATTTCATTGTAATTTGACTTCTGTGTACTCTGTTGCATGCTCACCACCTAAAGTCTACCTTCTTTCCATCTTCATATATTTAATGCCTTTTACCCACTTTGTATCTCCCCCCAAAGTAATATTTTTAATTGAACGATTCTACCAATATAAAATACATTTTTTATAGGTTCCTGATGCTCCTGCCTCTTGGACTCCCATCTGTCCTCTGAAGTAACAGGAACAGTTGGAGCTGTATCATCACCTGCTTCTATGACATCAACGTGTGTGCGTGTTCACATGTTACCAAAAGAATCTTACTGTTTTGAAACTATACAACATTATACTATATAAACCGTAAGTCACTATAGAACTTACTGGATTTGCTCGTTGTCACCTAAGAATCTATCACGAACGTCTTTCTAGTTTGTGTTTATAATTTATTCTTTGTAATAACTGACAGGTCTCAGAGTATGGGGGCTCCATTACACTCAACATTCGATAACCTAAATATCCTCAGTTATGGATATTTCGGTTATGGAAATTATTTTTAAGTCCCTGGATACATCTCTTTACATACTCCTGCTTTTATGTACACAAAATAGTTTACTAGGAGTAACATCTGTGGGTTGGATAATATGTAGCTATTTTCAGTTTTAATATTTTATTTATTTTTAGGGAGAGGGGAAGGGAGGGAGAAAGAGAGGGAAAGAAATATCTATGTGTAAAAGAAGCATCGATTGAACCTGCAACCCAGGCATGTGCCCTGACCAGGAATCAAACCAGCGACATTTGCTTTGCAGCACGCCACCCAACAAAATAAGCCATCCCAGCAGGGGGCACTTTCATTTTTAATAGGTCCTGCCAGGTACGCTGCCCCCAAAATGAGGAACAATTCATATGCTTCATCTAAGTTTTTATTTTTCCTATTTCTTCAACTTTCCCAAACCTTCCATATTTTACACACTTGGTACGTACTCCTTTTAAATTCAGGGGAAAAGTCCAAGAGGTAAGAAAAGATTTCTAAATCTCAGTGAGCTAGACTCTCAACAACTTTCCTGGTTCCTAGGCAACCTTGACTGATCTCCTGCCTCCAGTGCCCATCCCCAAGCATGTGGCTGAGAAGCAGCAGGTAAAATCCAAGCGTGTTTACCCCCTTGCTTCTAGTGCAATTTTACATATGCACTTAAACTTAAAAAGGTGGGAGAAAGTTCTTGATATCATTTTAAATGAAAGGAGCAGATTTCAACATTTTCTTCTCACCGACAACAGCTCTATAAAACTATAGTTGGGTGGAAGTTAACGTAGAAATATAAAACCCACACAGTGGCAGGGATAGGAGAGCAGAGTTTATTTTCTGTCCCGACTCCTGGATTCTCTGTGTGTACAGTATGAGACCTAACCTCTCTGATGATCTTTTCTCTCAGTCATTTAGAGATAATAATGGCCCTGCCCCTGGGGCTCATTGGAGGATTGAATGACGTGAGACTAGGCAGGGAGGGTTTGCAAGGGAAGCTGGGGGTAAGTAACTGTGACTGTTCCATCCCGTAGGATTGATCCAATAAGGACAATAGAGCTGATTTGTTATTAAAAAAAAATGTAAACAAATATACAAAAGTATTCCAAAAGGTTAGATCACAACTTCTGAACAGAACAGCCAGATTCAATAAAAAACACAAGATCCCCCATTCAGTTTAAATTTTAGATAAACAACCAATAATATTTTAGTTTAAGTATATCCCATATTACACCATATTCACCTCCCCCCATCCCAAGGTCAAGTCACACTGGCAAACTCTCTGTTCTTGTACATGCCACGATTTCTTTCACACCCAGGATTCCTCCTGCCTGGGTCACTCCCTCCTTCAGCTTCTGCCTGGCGGACTCCTACTCTGCTCAGACATCATCTACTTCAGGCGGTCTGCCCTGATCGCAGGCTACTCACCCTGACAGTCATGATTCTGCTTCTGGGTAGTTGCCATGAGAGAGAAAGGCTTTGTCTTGTTCATTCTTATAGACTTGGTATCCAGCTCCTGCCTGACACTGAATAGGTGCTCAATAGAGAGTCAAACAAATGAACAAATTTCCTCCTGACCGCTACTTACCTCCTGCACAGTGTACCCCATCAGCTGCTTCCCAAGCCATGTTCGTTCATTCCTTGTCGTGGAGAATGCAATGTGAGTGGTACACAGAGGAAACAGAGAGGCACTACAGAAACTCAGTGTTCGGGCCCCTCACCTGGAAAGCTGAATCTCTCTCACAAAAGCAACAGCACCACTTACATGCTCCTTGCTAATATTGTCTCCCAACACCGAGTCCTCAGTCGGTGTGTGGGCAAAGTATATCACACAAATGGGCCTGCTGTTCCTCATCACCACCTACGAGAGGGGTGCCATTACGACCCCATTTTATAGATGAGAAACTGAGGCTCAGAGTAGTTAATGCCCAGGGTCACAGAGTAAGCTCCAACCCAGGCTCCTCTGATAGGCGGGAACGGGGTGCAGCCTCTTAAAACAGCGCGTCATCTGAAGAAAAGACTTTCAACATGCATATTCCCTAACATGATGAGGTCTCCTCCCTTAGCACCCACCTTCCATCTCTTTGCCCATCCCATGGCCACAGGCAGAACCAAGCCCCCCTGAGCCCAAGACAGGACTCACACTTTATCGTCATTCAGTCAATAGTTGCTGAGAACTGAAGGTGAAGAAGGGAGCACCAGCTAGTAAACAACACAGCAGTGGGC